CTAAAATCTATGAATTCATGATGCCTTTGCTATGATGGCTAACAAATGAGTTAATTAGGACCAAAAGTGATGGTGGCTGATTTGTTTTTGGTCGGGCTCTTCTAACTGGGTTTTCTCATACACAGCTTTATCATCAGATAAGACAATTACATCCGCACTGATAATGAAATTAAAGGAATCTATGATTATGTGAATTACTAGGAAATAAACCAGTGGCCACCTGAGCTGCTAGTGAGGACTTCTGTTCTAGAAGAATACGTTGCTTTGGGATGAAAGGTGATATAATTCCCCAATCAACAGAGTTGCTAATTTATTCCCCTGAAATATTTTGGAATTTGTTGGTCCTGGGAATGTTGATATAGGATGGGACAAATATCTGCTCTCAGAGGTGATGTGGTACTTTGTCAGTGGAGCTTTCTGTTGATAAGTTAACATGTGCCTCGAAGACCAACTCTGTGTAGCTTTAAAAATGCACAATATCGTATTACTTAATCTGCAAATACATTTTATTTTTAAACCAGAATAGAAAAAAATTACACTTAAGATATTATGGTAGTTTTGTTAATACTTTTGTGCATGGTTGTGTGTGTGTTACCCACGTAAGGCAAGGTATGGTCTGTCTTCAGAATTTGCAAAGAGTCTGTTTCAATGACGTTACACCTCTTTTGTATTATGTCTTGCTGTTCCTTAAATCTCACTTGAATGGATTAAAGGTATCTGAAAAGCCCATTTAATGTTTGTACAGCACTTGGAAAATGCAAAGCATTGTAAATGCTAAATAGGATTAATACAGCAGAACCTCTGTACTATTGCACTAATGAATGATGACTCAATGCATTCCATAACTGGCAAGTAAGTCAACGAACAAATAATTTTTTAAACAAAGCTAATGCCTCACAATGTACTTTGCTATAATTGAGTTATAGTTCAGTTTTATGTATGATCTGTACTATTATATATTATGTGTATGATGAGTATAATAGTCAAGTAAATGTAAAGCAGCATTTTGTAAAAATAAATCTTAGTAACGCAAGACTTGTCAAAGATTTAGCAGTGTGCTGTACAGAAGTGGACAGAGACTGCTGCATTGGTACACATTATAAAGTGCAAAGATGACTGAGTAAGGATGAATGAGGTTTTACTGTAACTGTTTCATAGGTGGGATGTTATTCTGTTTTACAGATAAGTTTAGCAACTTGATAAGTTCATACAAGAAGTAAGTGGCAGAGCCAGGAATGGACCTCACTCCCTTGACTAACCATTGGACCATGCTGTGTCCCTTAGCACATTGAGAAAATGGTAAGACTTTGCAATGTATACATGTGTTCAAACAGTAAGTCTTTTGACTATTTCATATTAACATTGTAGTGGGGGAAAAACAACACTTAATTTACTTTACCCCAGGGAGAAATAGAAAGGAAGATCTTTTTTTTTTAAGTCTAGAAGGGGCTCAGAAGCTACCATGGTGGTGGGTGCAGTGTGAGACCCTGAATAGAATGCAGTACAGTCTAAAGCACCAAACCTGCCTCGAAGTGGGGAGCCTCACTGAAGTCAATGGGGCTCCATTTGGGAGCAAAGTGGTGACCATATGCAACAAGTTGCAGGAAAGGCCTATGGGCCCAGTCATGCTCCACTGAAGAAAATAACAAAGGTCCTATTGACTTCAGCAGGAGTAGTACAGGATCCCGAAGGCACAAACCAGTACAATAATATAATAATACCTAGCTCTCACGTAGCACTTTGGTTTGAGATCAGCTGATGAAAATCAATTAACAAACAGAATGGCTTATGGGTGTTACCCCTGGTATATGTCCTGGAACATTAGGTGAATGTGATGGAGATGTTAAACCCCACAATGTCAGTGATAGGGTTAAGTGGAGCTGGACAGCCCAATTAGCCCATTCTGAGACCTGGAAGGAAAAGAGGTAATTAAGGGTTAGACCCAGGTGGGGATAATCAGACTGGATGGTGTCTATAGAGGAAGAACAAATATAAAGGGAAGGACTGAGAGCGGAGAGCTACAGTAAGGTACATATCTTGGGGCTGGCTCTGAGAGAAGGAGGGTGAAAAGGTTCCAGGAAAATGACAGCGAGGCTGGAAACTGTCAAGAAGAGGCTTCTCAGCAATAGACTGTCGAGAAGCCGCACAAGAAGTCAGGCTTCCCAAGAGAGAGGCTTGGAAAGCATAATTCTGGGAAAGGGGCCTGTAGACAAACGTAGGAAGGAGCAGGTCTTAGTTGGTTAAACACAGATTCCCAGGACTGGAACCGAGAGGAGAGAGTGGCCTGGGTTCCCCTACCATCTCCAGGAAAGGGGGATAGGAACCCTGAGAAGAGGAAGCAAAAACTATAGAGCACAGGCTGGGGCTCTGACTGGTGACCTGATACGGGGCCATGGGACTCTTTACTACCTTGCAAGGAGTAAAATTATGAACAAACTGGCTGGAGTTGTGAGAAGAGACCAACTGTCATACTGCCAAATTGATGTCTGGGGTGGGGGGAACTGAAGTGGAGTCACTGTAATGTCATGCCCCGCCATGAGGGGATGCAGTGGCCAATAAGTTCACTCCATTACAGTGCTGAATTAAAAATACTTTGCAGAATGTGGTGGCTTGGCACACATTTGCTGAGAGTCTGTTCCCAGCATAAAGGGGTGACACTCCTGTGGTGGGCATTAGGCAAAAGGTGTGCAGCTCAGCTCCAGGCCCATTTAGTTGGCAGTTGCAGCAGAGGCCAAGAACAAGTGGGCTAATTAAAAGGAGTGTCAGCTGTGGTATTTGAGCTCGCTACTAATTGCACTTAGGCCTCCAAACCGCTGTCCAGTCCTGACAATGTTGGTTCACTACTGACCAGATCTGGACCAATGACCTAGAATCAAATGTGTAATTGAGAAGCAGGTTTCAGGTACAGCTAGGTTTACAGATGAGGAAAGACAGTAAATACTATGACTATCAAACCTCAGAAGGAGAAGATTTACAGGGGAAGGAAATAATTAAGCGTATGAAGTCTGCGGTGGCTACCACTCAGTACCATCGTTTTACTATATCCCATAGAACCAGGACCAGGGGTTCTCCTCAAGCCCACAGGAATATTTATGACAAATAAAAGGAATACTGCATCTGAACTTAGTCATGGGCAATCAGAGTTTAGTAGAGCAGAGAAATTTAAAAGAGTATCTGAATAATGTAACAACCAATACCATGTGTAGGTAGGGGGAAGCTGATTGCTATGGGTCTGGAGGGTATCTTCCCCTCACCTCCTTCCCCTCCCTGACCAATGATAACACTGCACAAATAATTAGGTGGATTATATATATTTTTTTCACATTCTGCTAGATCATCTGATATAAACCAGTGCCAGAGATAGGAGAGAGAGCATGATGTCCCATTGGTCTAATTTGAGACAGAAAATCTTGTTTTCCCGTGCATGTTTGTAACAGGGTGACTTGCCCTGGTGCTGGAGAGCCTGAGGCCAAGCCAACCCTGATTACAGAGCCCCACCTCAGGGGAATCGGGTGATTTCCTATAAAGAGTAGAAGGTGGCTGAGATAAGGGAGGAAACTAGAGGGAGGGGGCTTCTGCAGGGAAGACCATGAGAATTGCTCCAGCTGGAAAGGGCTGGGAGTAGCTTGCTAAGGCAGGAAGGACTGTGACCAGACCAGGGGATTGTGGGCTGTACCCAGCTGGAGGGAAGATTTTTGTGTTGAGTTTTGAACCTTAATAAATCAACCCCTAAATCACCTAAGGAGGGCTTTTGTGGGTGAAGTGGAAAAGCCCTCTGTGGAGTTTATTTGGAGATCCAAGAAGGGAAACTGAGGTGAGGAGCTGCGTGCAGGGCTGCCATGAGGCTGCCAGGGGGCACCATGAGGTGGCCACTCATCTACAATGGTATATAACAAAATAGGTGAAAAGGCATTTCAAAGAAAAATGCCCCAGTCCATTTGAAAAAAGCCCTGCTCTCCTATGAGGCTCAGGGCTTCTGTACTGTGGGGACTGCTGGATGGAAGAGAGAGCTAATAGGGAGCTGCTGCACATCATTTTCTCCACCCCACTAGTGAACTGTCCTTAGATAAAACAAGGAAAGTTTTGCCTCTTCTCTAAAAAATGACATGACATTTTGGTTTTAAAAACATCATTCCCCCTGTATTAAAAGCCACCTGCAAGTCACCCTTCCCCTCCTTTTCGCAAATGGAGAAAGGCTCTTCCTTAGCTCAGTCACTCTGTGCTCTGCACATGAGCTTGTGCAGCTGAAGTGTGAAATTAATACCCACCAGAAGGAAGAAGGAAGGGAAGCTCTGCTCACAGGGGTTGGAAGGAAGCCCTAGAACTCCTAGAGGGAGAGAGGATCCTGACCAGGTAGCGAGAAGGGCAGAGAGTCCCTAGGTGCCCAGGAGAAGATGACCTCTGTCTGATACTGAGTGACTAGCAAAATCTGTCTTTATAAGCTCCTTGTGTATATACCTCTACCCCGATATAACGCGACCCGATATAACACGAATTCGGATATTACGCGGTAAAGTAGTGCTCCGGGGGGGCGGGGCTGCGCATTCCGGCAGATCAAAGCAAGTTCAATATAACGCGGTTTCACCTATAACATGGTAAGATTTTTTGGCTCCTGAGGACAGCGTTATATCGAGGTAGAGGTGTATATGTTTTCTGCAAAGGAGGGAAGTGGGAGAGAAACTGCCATTCACCAACTGATCATTGACATTGGCTCATGACCTAGGCTGGCTCAGTGATCAATAGAGACTCTGTGATGTAATGAAGGGTTATGACATCAGGAGTTTGCTGATAGGCTTGCCAGCAGGAAGTGCTTGTCAAGCCAATCATCGCTCACTCATTTAAGTGACACCTGGAATTAGGGTCATGCAGCTGCACCTCACACACCCTTGCATGACAGTTTAAGATTTCAGGACCCAAAACAAGGATTGGGGGTGCTGTGAGGAGGAGAATTCTCCAAGCTGTCCTTCCCGCATGACGCACCTCCATGCCATCAATCGAAGATGTCTGACAGGCGGGATTCAGAAAAAGAAAAACTCAGTACTCTTTCTGATGTGGCAAAATTCAACTATGCCTTGAAGCAGTTTCAGACACTGATTGGAAAAACAGTCGCCCAGAAGAGGGAGGAAAGATTAGGGATGTACATTAAAGATCAGGGTAAGAGGCATTGTCTTTCTGATTGAAAGGCTGTGTAATTTGGGAGTGGAGGCTGGGTAGCTATGTGGGATGGCCAGGATTCTACAGAAGACCCAAACTGGCATACTGGCTAGGGCTCGCCTTCCCCATTTTTAAGGGAAATATGCAGATTGCTCTAAGAAAATATTTTCCCTGATAAGCTAAAACCTACAGCAGTCTTATTATGGCCAGATTCTGTAACTGAGCCATTTACCCACAAAAACATATTCTTCCTGGCAGCATCCCCTCATAGTGATTCCCCATAATAGTACTTGATTAATCCTTACGTAGTGCTTTGTGTGTTGAATGAATCAAACACATGAACCAATTGTCCAAGTCAGTCCATTTATGTTATCATAAGTAACTCAACCTCGTGTAGGTTGTTACCACTGCAGGCTAGCAACTTTAGGTGCACAAAAAAGTCAGCTTTATCACAGAAGTCTCTTTGACCTCAGAATACTCCTGGGTGGTAGGTTAGCAGAATGCTCTCTTAACCCATGAGATTTTTGGAAATTAAGAAGGTTGACATTTTTTGGGCAGGGATGCTAGAACGAATTCAACAAGAAGATTGAGAAATTGAACATTAATGATGCTGAAGGTGAAATCAAACCAGGAACCAAATGTAGTATCATAGAAATGTAGGGCTGGAATGGACCTCAAGAGGTCATCTAGTCCAGCACCTTCTACTGAGGCAGGCCCAAGTAAATCTAGACAATCCCTGACAGGTGTTTATCTAACCTGTTCTTAAAACCTCCAATGATGGAGATGCCACAATCTTCCTTGGAAGCCTATTCCAGAGCTTAACTACCCTTGTAGTTGGAAAGTTTTTCATAATATGTAACTTAAATCTCCTTTGCTGCAGATTACACCCATTGCTTCTTGTCCTACTTTCAGTGGACAAGGAGAACAATTCATCACCATCCTCTTTATTACAGCCCCTAATATATTTAAATAATGTTATCAGGGCCCCCTCTTCCCCAGTCTTCTTTCCTCAAGATTGAACAAGCCGATTTTTTTTAACCTTTCCTCAGATGTCTGGTTTTCTAAACCTTTTATCATTTTTGTTGCTCTCTTCTTGATGCTCTCCAATTTGTCCACATCTTTCCTAAAGTGTGGCACCCAGAATTGGGCACAGTACTCCAGCTTAGGCCTCACCTGTGCTGAGTAATGCTGGGAAATTGCCTCCTGTGTCTTATCCAAAACATTCTTGTTAATACACCTCAGAATGGTATTAGCCTTTTCACAACTGCATTACATTGTTAGCTTATGTTTAATTGGTGATCCACCATAACCCCCAGATCCTTTTCAGCAGTCCTGCCTAGCCAGTTATTCCCCAATTTGTAGTTGTTCATTTAATTTTTCCTTTCTAAATTAAATATTTTGTGTTTGTCTTTATTGAATTCCATCTTGTTGAATTCAGACCAATTCTCCAATTTGTCAAGGTAGTTTTGAATTCTAATCCTGTCTCCAAAGTGCTTGCAATCCCTCCCAGTTTTGTGTCATCTGCACATTTTATAAGCATACTCTCTACTCCATTATTCCAAATCATTAATGAAAATATTGGCTAGTACTGGACCCAGGACTGACTCCTGCAGGACCCCACTAGGTACACCCTCCCAGTTTGACAGTGAACCTTTGAGTATGGTCTTTCAAGGAGTTGTGCACCCATCTTATAGTATTTTCCACTTGACCACATTTCCCTAGTTTGCTTATGAGAATGTCATGTGGGACTGTGTCAAAAGTCTTCCTAAAATCAAGATCTATCTCATCTACTGCTTCCCTCCTCCCTCCCACAATCCACTGGGCCAGTAACCTTGTCAAAGAAGGAAATATGAGAAGAAACAATTTGCTAGTGTTCAACTCTGATGGATTTTTGTTTTATTTTGTTATTTTTGTTCCAATACAGATGAAATAGATTATGATAAATTCTATGAGACAGTACAAACCCTCTTTGGTCCAGAAGTGAAGGATCAAGATGTTAAGACCTTTTTCAGGAAGATTAGCAACAATCCTGATGGAAGAATAGAATGGTGTGAGGTAAGGTTTATATATAATCTGAAATAGTGAAATGCCAGGTTAATTTATGCAAGTATGTAATCATTGACGGCATGGAATGAGAATGAATTCACGGAGAATGCACATAATCAAAGTGACATTTCCATGTCATTTATTACTGCTTCTATAAATCTTTCATCTGCTACAGGCCAAAACACTTTAAAAAAAGGATCTTGCTTTGAGGCTAGATGGAAAATTAGCTAAAACTATTGTTCTGGTTGGTTAGAGAATAAGTGAGAGGTAAAATGTGAAGGACTGGCTTAGGGCATCTCATTTCTAATAATATAAGCCTTTATCCAAGATGTTAACAAAACCCAATAATAAATACAATTTTGACAAGCTGAGAAAGAAAGAGGAAGCATTTATTTTTAGTTTGGTGGTGAACAGTTAAAAATACATGTACAGCCAACAATCTTAGGGACAAATTTTGCCTTTGGATGCACACATGTCTCCAATGAGAGTATGCACATTACAGGAGAGGAGAGCTAAATTTGTCCCTTGGACTTTTTCCTCTGTACAATCTGCTCTCACTTGGGGAGCAATTAAACATATCAGGGTCAAATCTTCCAAAATGCTGAGCACCTGCTGCAAGATACCGACCTGCTAGCTCACACTGATTGGGAGAGGTAGTGGGATGGATCAGTGCCTTGCAAGATGTGACCCTTTTGATGCTGTGTGTTAGGGGTACAATAATCATTGTTCAGGGTAGAATTTAACCAACAAATTACCATGCTCCTAGGTGCAAAAAATAGCATATAAGGCCTGGCTCTGCCCTCAGGAAAACTCTCACATTTAGGCACCTGAATGAGCATGTAGGTGCTCAAGTACCTTCTGTAAAGGACTGGCTGCCTCGCGGGTGTGTCGTGAGGATTCATTAACTCTTATAGCAGGGATGAATTTGGCTCTATAATTTGTAAATGGAAAGTGTTATAGAAGTGGTGGCATTTTAACTGAAAGATGCTTAATCATTGAATTGTCATGGTTATTACTGAGCCTATACCAAAGAAGTATATGATTCTAAATAAAAATATTCATGGAAAATAGCTTTACAAGTAGCCATTCTGTGTAGGATGTCTAGCTGTATGCTGTAGCCAACCTATGCCAACTGAACCCATGACATCCTATTGCCATAAGATTTTTATCTTCCACTTGGACAACTTCCAGAGCTGGGCACTGGGGACCTGATAACACCTACAGCGCAGTGCCTTTCCTAGGATTGCACTGTCAGAATTGGCTATATGGGCGTAGACTTATTTGACTGCCTTTGTGGCCCAGAGGGACAGTGTTACTAACTAAACCATGTTATAAATTCAAGAGGCAGACTTCCTCATTACTCTGGAACTTCAAATGATGTTTAGTGATCTCTGAGCTACCCAGCTCTTAGCCTTTGATAATCCATACAGAACATCTTCATATAATTTTCTAGCACCACTGCAGTGGCAATGCATTTGGTCCTGACTGTCTGGTAAAAGAGCTTCCATCCTAGAGTGATTCTATCAAGTCCCCGACTTAAATATTTTTGCTTGTGATTTTGTTCTTTATGATATCACTCTACTAACAAATTATTCTCAGATCAACTGTGTGTGTCAAGACAAAAAAAATGCTTCACATTATCTGTGAGGCTTGGATGAAAGCTGTGATATGGTTGGCTGAAGAGGCTTTCAAACATCATGTAGTTAACTTCCAGTCAATGTACTTGAATCTATAGGGCCTTTTTATCAGCTAGATCTTTAAATCATGACCAACCTTTTCGTTACAGCATTCACCTAGTGAAAGCTAAACGTAAAACTTTTCTCCCTTCATGTCCTCCCCTTACATTTCTTCCTTGTTCCTTCTTGCCTCCTCTCTTAAGATGAGACTTGAAAGGAGAAGCTGTTGCTAACCACCTCTCTTCAGCTTTCCTTTGAAACTCTGCTAGTAATAGAAAAGAAGAAAATGGGCATTTTCAGTGTTACAAGGACATGGTGCACAAGAGATGGGTTCTTGAAATAGCCAATGGTGTTAAGAAATATACCAGCTACACTATAGGATTAGCCAAATTCTAGTCCTTGCAAGAACCTCAGCATCATTTCAATCTTGTAGTATCCCTTTGCATGGAGGTGGGATGCAGGCAGAGTGACTAAACAGAGGGGCTTCTGCACCTCCTGTATACTGCTGAGGCAGGCTCCACACCTATCCTAAATAGAGCAGCATGGAAAGAACCAGATGGCAGCAAACTGGGAAGGATGTACTAAATCCAAGGTTTAAAAGACAGTGAGCCTAGCACAGAGAATATCAGTGGCTATTCAGGTCCAGCAGCTGATATAGTGGCTGTGTAAGAGGGGTTGTGTTGGGGAGGAGGGTGAATTCCAACTTTCCCAATCCTCCCAAACCTTAGCTTGATCACCACTTAGAATACTTTCCTGGGAGGGGTGAATTTTACCCTGAGAGTTTAATGCAGCCGATAATTGGGTTAAGGCTGTTGTAAAAGAGTACAGGGAAAATGAAAATGACAAAATGACAGCCAGCATTATCCACGTACGTTAGGGAAAAGATTTAAAATTACTCAGAGCATCTTCATTAGTTCCCTTTACAACAGCACTGAGAAAAAAATGGTTTGATGTATAATTTTTGGCACATTGTGCACAAGAGGGGAAAGCAGCTGTTAATGTACTCACCACCGTTATTAAAAGGTGGGCGCAGGGGGACTAAAAGAAACAAAAGAACATAGGGATGTTATAGAAGGCTGCTCTTCATCAGCCAAATCATGCTTCAGGTGGTAAAAAAGACCAGACCTGCTGGATGAGGTTGTGCATTTATATGGAAGTGTGGCATTATTATTTCTGAAGGGTATATACAGTGGAATAAATCCTCCCCAGCCTCCCAAAAAGGAATATACCATCCAGCTAGCATTTTATGTAGATCTGGTTGAAATCTGTCAAAATATTTTTTTTTAAAAAAACAAATGGTTTTTCAACCAAAATGAACTTGGTCAAAATTTTCTGGGTTTTGTTGTTTTGTTTTTGAAAACCCAAATTTGTTTTGGCTGTCATTGGGAAAAAATGGGGGAAAAATAGAGAAATATTTGAGAAAAAAAGAAACATTTTCACATTTTTCTGCAAAAAATAATAAGCATTTTTCAACCAGCTGTAGTTGTAAGTGCTTGGGAAAGAAACCAGGTTAAAGCTGGCTGGAGGACTCTCTTCTCACCACTGAGAAGTATCAAAGGACTGGTTAGCATCTGTAAATGACCATTAACAAGGGGCAGCAGCTTGGTGGCATGACGTATATTAATAGAGTTTAAGGCCAGAAGGGACCATTACCTCATGTAGTTTGACTTCCTGCATAACTCAGGCTGTTAAATTTCCCCTAGCTACCTCTGTATTGAGCTCAGTAACTTGTGGTGTAGCCCTCCACAGTTACGTCTTTGCTGTACACCATAGCAGCTGGTGGCAGTGTGGACTAGCACTTGGAACTTCCTGCTCCAGAAAGCACAGGCTCTGTACCACTTCAGCTGGAGGAGAATCTCTGTAGTCTTTTGGCAGCAGAAGGTCTCTAACACAGCTGAGCAGTTCTGATTCCATCCCAGTAAAGGGCAGTGGTATACATAATACTTGCCAGTTTATTACAACATATTGGGGTTACCAAAGCAACATGAGTCTGTGACGAACTTGGGAAAATACATCAAAACTGCTTCCAACTGCAACCTGGGATAGAGGGTAGGGTACATTTTGTTGTGATTGCCTATCAGTTTACAATTGTTTACCTGATCAGGGAAACTCTTAAAGGACACCTGGCCCTCTGGCTGCTTTAGAAGCAGGAGTACAAAAACCCTTGCTGGATGAGGATTTTAAACATCTATGCTACCCAATTAGTGTGCCACCAGCACAAATGCTGTCTGAAGGTCCCAGGTCCCAGACCTATAAGCATTCTTCAGGAATATAATAGTAAATGCCAGCATTTGAATTCATTGTGTTAGAGCAGAGATTGAGTAAAAACTATCAATTGGGGAGCACATGAACTGGTGAATTTTATATTTGTATGTAGGGTGCTTAAGATGCCTATTAATATGGAGGAAAGTAGTGTCATGTAAAATTGAATTAACAGCTCTCTTCATAGACAGCTCTTGGAAATGGAGGTCACAAATTGTATAGGATACTGTGGGAGGGAAATTTGAGATTTTAAAACATCTCTACTCTACAAATAAATGTTAATTTCTTGCAAGGAAAAATAATGTAATGACTAATAATACAGAATAGTTAGAAAGTCACCCAAGCAATCATTCTGAAAATGGCAATGCTTAATTATGTGATGACTAGAAATAGAAGGAATTAAAGAAATGAAAGTTCTATTGAAGCTATTTCATCTAGGTTTAGCCATAACCATCATTCTTTGAAATATGACACTGCAAAAAAAAGTTGTAGAGGTTTTTTTTTTAGTGTGAAATCTGCTGATAATGTGAATTAGAAGCTATCTGTACACCTTCGATGACTTGATAAATGACCACACCTACCAGGACATTAATCTAGGAAATGTATCATGTGAGACTGGGTAATAAATGGAAACGGAAGCAAGAGCTGGAAACTGAACTACAAAAACCTGCAGAGTCCTGAAATTGTCCGGATTTTACTTATACTAAAACAGGGCAACCATTGTTTTCAAGGAGGGGGAGAAAACAACAACAGAAAATGTGGAAAAGTCAGAAATGCTAAATGACTTTGTTTCAATTTTCATCAAAAAGATTAGTAGCGATTGGATGTCTAACATAGTGAATGCCAGTGAAAATGAGGTAGGATCAGAGGCTAAAATAGGGAAAGAACAAGTTAAAAATTACTTAGACAAGTTAAATGTCTTCAAGTCACCAGGGCCTGATGAAATACATCCTAGAATACTCAAGGAGCTGACTGAGGAGATATGTGAGCCCATTAGCGATTATCTTCGAGAAGTAATGGAAAACAGGAGAGATTCCAGAGGACTGGAAAAGGGCAAATATAGTGCTAATC